AACTGCAGTCAGAGAGTGTGTAATTGAACTGAGTATTGTTGAAGTCGAGCACGTGAGACGTTTGTTATAGTGCGACTGTTGAAATTAAGTGTATCGCAAAGTTATATTCAGAAAGAATAAACCAGTTTTATTCAAGAAAGGACTTGTGTCGCTAAAGTTTCGTTGGAACGAATTTAAGGATAATTAACTATCGAACGGAGACGTAACAATATAACACCGGATTTTGGTCAGCTATTAAAGTCAAACCTAACATTTAAGAGCTCTCATACATTCAGTATTTATATATATTATATAAAAATAAGTTATACCCATTCTTGAAAGCTCAAAGACAAGAATCATTAATATAAACGGATTACTTTTACATAAGAGTTAAACCTAAAGTTTAAACTTACAAGAAGCAATTATACACAACACACGGGCCCGGCATGGACAGGTGATTAGGGCGCTTGACATGCAATCTAAGAGTCGCGTGTTCGAATCACCGTCCCACCAAACATGCTCGCCCTTTCAGCCATGGGGGCGTTAGAACATGACAATCAATCCTACTATTCGTTGATAAAAGAGTAGCCTAAGAGTTGGTGGTGGGTGGTGATGACTAGCTGCCTTTCCTCTCGTCTTACACTGCTAAATTAAGGACGACTAGCGCAGATAGCCCTCGTGTAGCTTTGCGCGAAATTCATAAAAGAAACAAACATAACACATTGCATATTTAGATTATCAACGATACAGACTAAACAAAAACAGTTATTTTCTTTACAAGCACATTTAACCCGTAATTGCATTAACTGCAGACCAAAAATATATCTTAACACATCATTACCTTTTTGTTAGATTTTCGCTGAAATAAGCAGTTATACTTTATAAACTTGCTGTTTGTTCTATGTATACTCTAATCATTCTGATTACGATCGACCGTGTGTACCGATGTTGCTGTTTGTAGTATTTTATACACGTGAAAAATCTAAGGATGAATGAAATCACTAAATCAATATCACTAGAGTTCACAATGACTTCCAATCTTATGTTTAGAACAAGTCACTTTCACAAGAGAAGTCCTGCTACTTTTAAGGAAATTATTAATTTGGCTATTTTTTTGTACTTTCTGAAAATTAAGCAGGTTATTAAATCTAGTGAAAAAGACTATTTAATACAGAATCATTAGATGGAGTTTTAATCATGCCGGATTAGTGAGTTAGAACATTACACTCATTCACCTTATTACAACGACAGTTATTAAAGACTGTATAGTGAATCAACACATAAGGTTAAAGTTACATTATTTCGGGTGGAACAAAGAAATATTAGACTCAGAATCGTTGCACAGGCTATCGACTTACCAGTTAAAATACAAGAACGATTTAATGATGCATAGATGTCCGTTATCCTAAACGGACTTCCTTTCTGGACCTTTTTTATGTTATTATATACAGACCCAAGCCTTTTCTTTTTACTTTGTGAGTTTTGTAGGCGTACATCAGTATATTGACAGTGATCAAGTGAACAAGTTTCACTGACATTTTGGAATTTTATCAACCAGAACTTGTAATTTTACTGTGCACCAAACTTAGAAATATTTATCTGGAAAACAAAGGCTAAAGTGTTTAGAGTTTTCTCTATAAAACTCCAAACACTGGTTGGAGTTTCAATGATAACAACTCACAACTAATTTGTCAGTGATTACAGCGACATCAAATACTCGTGTGAGAAAATTAGAACGCAGGAATGTCAAGCATTTGAAGAATTTTTGGATCCAGGTGACCTTCTAATTTCCCCAGAGATGGCACTGCTGCCGATGGGTCCGAGTTTATCAGTAAAAGTTAACAACATGTGCGGCTGCATGTGACCGACGAAATGGACATATTTGTGTTCTAAGAGTTTCACCAGGGAAACATTACAAGTAAAAAAAAAAAGAAAAAAGGCAGATAAAAAATTATGATAACATACTAAGTTCTGCAAAACTCCCCGAGAAGCCAGAGGCACAGCCCGCCTTAATCATATACAGGGCTTTGCGACGACAACACATTCTAAGGATATTCTTCGATGGCATAGAACATAATTAGAGACTCGGAATATCTCAAGGTCAAACAGGCTTTGAAGCGCAGAGAAAGAGCGAAGAGTTTTCATGGTTGTGATTTTCCTTCGAAACTATGTCACCGTTAAAATAATGTTTTGA